TCCCTCCGCGCGTCCCTCCTGCTTCCCTGTCTCGCTGTGGATCTCCAGGCCCCGGTGCTGGCCGTAGGGAGGAGAGCGGCGAGTAGAGCGCTGCCCCCATCACAGCGGGAATGGCTTGCGAGTGCTACCGGGGACCTCGTGCACAGCAGCTGCCTTTGAAGGGTCCATTAAACTGAAAAAAATCTCAAATATGTTATTCAACTGTGCAGCAAACATGAAACAGGAAGCAAACTCAGCCAGAAAGGTCAGCACTTGGTTTGGTTTGTCCTAGCTTTAGGTTTTCTTTAATGCAAAGTTCAGGGAGCTTAGGTGGTTTTTCTTCAGCAAAACTTCATAGACTTCAGCCAAACTCCACATTTTTACTTTCTTCTGCTAGTTCAAAAGCAGGTGGATCACATATTATGCAGTAGATGAAACAAATTGTGGTAAGGGTGCATGATTTACTGCTGTAAGGTACTGAGCTAGGTAACAGTAATGCTTATGAACAGTATAATCTCCCAGAAGAACTGGAGTGTAATTTGATTTCTACTTTGTTAGCTTAGGAAAGGCAATTCAGGTTATTTTACAGCAAATTATCAACTAAACCAATGAATGAAGCTTAACCATTATTTTAATGTGTCTTGTTTTTCATTAAATCCCTGCTTAAGAAACAATTGAGCAGCAGTCAGAATTGCCTGGAATGGAAGACGCTGCTCCTGAGCACCAGCTCAGCACCCGACAGGGAGACAGCTGACGCAGCTCACAGGGAAACCCGGGCAAAGCAGCTTGGTTCTGCTCGGTCACAAATCTAAACAGATTTTAAATGCTGGAATACATCAATGCAGTCAGATTTCTGCAGTTACGAGTGGTGGCCTTGCTCTCTGACAGCAATGCCATCACACGCTGCTGTATTTAACAGCTTCCATTTCTCGGCTCTGTGTTTCCAGTGCCGTTATTGCTGAGCAGCTCCTTGAAGAAACGTTAGGCTGCTGGTTCCTAACCCAACCATATGCTTCAGAGATATATCCGACTGCTACATCAAGAAGCACAGTCTCCCACGGGATTTGAGATTCACCCCTGTCTACCTATGCGCTATTCCAGAAAACTAATCTCTAGGATGACAGCTCATTCAGCACTCTGGAAAATTTACCCACATTGAGCTCCTCTTTAAATAATGACCTGACATTTGTTCTGTAGAGGGAGACAAAGCCCAGACTGATGAAAACAGTTGGCAGCTGCTTTCATTTGTGCCATTCAGAAGCGGGATGATAATTTCTCCACAGGGACCCATCAGTTCTTGGCAGACAGACCTGTCCAGGGTTCTTTGCTATTACTCTTGCTGCTGCCTCCTGCCCCTAGCACAGGCACCCACACAGACCCAATACTCAAGACAGCCAAAGCCAGAACCGACTGCAAAGGGTCAGAAAGGTTTCATGGTTCTGAGAAGTGGGAGATAAAACCGTGGTGATGATAAGTACATAGTAATGGATTTGAGGAAAGAAAAACGCATTAGATCTACATAAAAGGTTAACTCAAAACTAGCTGTTATCATCCAGAAAAGGGATTCTAGCATTTCTGAATATAGCTCAATGAAAACATTAACTCAGTATTACACAATGCTCAAAAAGGCAAACAGACTATGAAGAATTACTGGGTAAACAGACCAAACCAGAAAACATAGTAACAGATGAATCACAAGCTCACCTTTTGCATACTGTGAGCAGCTCTTGTTCCCTTAAACTAGAGCCGAATCACAAAATGTTCGGAGAAGGGTGACTGGGAGAGGTTGTATAGATGAGAACTTTCCAGCCTGGAGAGAGATTCCCAAAGGGCTGATAGTAATAATGGCACAAAGAAACATAAATGGGATCAAGCAGGAGAACAGATGCAATTACTCATTGTTACTCAGAGTACAAAACTAAAAGGCATCAGATGAAATGCTCACCTAGCAGGGCATGTGAAAGGATGCCCTAACAACCATGGGAACACTTTTTCACACAGTTCCTAATGAAACCGTGGAGCTCGCTGCCAAAGGATGCTGTGCAGGGCCATAGTTTAGAGTGGTTCCAAAAGACGTTTATCTCAGACAATGGAGGTATGAACTGCTTCCTGGCACCTGGACACACTACATGAACAGACAACACTGCCAATACAAGATATATTTCTTACCCATCCACACGGTCCCACACTATCTTACTTCACTTTAGATGCAGCGCCTGCACTCAGATGTACTCACCATGAGATCTATGCATATTTTTGTGCTTATTCTACTTACTTACTCTATTCTTAGGGAGTACTTACTTATCCCTTCCATTATTCTGGGAAGCTCTTAAGGATCCCCCAAGCCCTTGTTCCTGGGCTGGATGTGTTCTATTCTACCCATCAAGAGAGTTGGTCGCAGTAGTGCTCCTTGAGGGATGCACAGACATACAAGAGCAGAAGCACTCAGGTGGCTTTCCTGCACTTATCTGCTCATCTCCCAAGTGCTTTATCTGCTTTTCCACGGGACCTCCTGTTGAATAAGCCTCATTTGCATCAACATTTCAGCAAGGTCAGGCTGCCTGCCCAGCAGTACAAGCAGCCGCACTCCCGTCTCACTCCTTTTCTCCTTAAAACACATGCTCTGTGTTTTCTCTCCTGCTGTCTTGGGATCCTGTTCAAGGGCTTTCAGGCTAGGTGGTTAGCGAGCAAAGAGAAGCTGTTGTTCTGGTTCAGGAGCCACGAGGCAATATACAAATGCAAGGCCTGCCACCCCGCCAAGGGTAGAGGATAATGTATACGAAGTGGCGCCGAGTTCCCTCCTGCCACCGCACAGCCTACACAAACCTGGTGCTATTTTATAACTGAATCCAATCTCACTTTAGTCACGCTAGTGTCACTGACCTTGAGGCTGTTTTACTTCAGGGTGTCTGAAAAGACCTTCCTTCTTTCCCATGCTTATCTAATGATGAATTTTCCTGAAGAAAATGCAGGAAAGGTGAAATTCACTCATAAAAGTGGAATCTAGCAAAAGGGCTGAAAACAGTGTTCACTATTACAAACAAAATAGCTGCTTCTTAGGCCATACATCTCTTTACAATTAGTATTTCGGACATATTTCCATCAGAAGTTTCTCCCTTCCCCACGAAAACAGACACACATTCTCATTTAACAACTAATTGTTTTATTTAACAATACAAATTTCTTTCTACTGCATGTTTTAGCAGAGAGAACTTGAGAAACAAAATTAGCTTCTTTTTTCTTAAAGTTTAAATGTTTACACAAAACATCCTTTACTTCAGTAAATATAAAATTTACACACAAAAAACTACATTAAAAAAGAACAGATTCATGACAAACCAACAAAAAAAAAAAGGGAGTGGGAATTCAGTGTAAAGGATCCAATTGCAAGGAAGGCAAGATGGGGCAACACTAACAAGGCATCCCACTTGTACACCTAGGTATTTTAAGTTGTAGGTTCAATACAAACCCAAAATACATTAAAATTATGATTAAAACCTTTATTGTTATACCATAATATTTTATGATATAAATATCTGTTAATTCTGTAGGCAACATAGTTAACACGTGCAATACATAGTCTGCACTTCCCTGGAACGTCCCTGGGGCGGCGTCCGAGCGCTGCGCAGCACCGCAGGGCCCTGCGGGGAGCACTGCGCAGACACGCGCACCCGTGTCCCCACACATGATATCCCCTTGTTTCTTTGCCCATCTGTGCTAGTTCTCTCTGTGTTCAAGGACACCGTGAGAAGCTCTGGTCACCTTCAGCAGTGACTTCCAGCACTTCATCTCCTGGCCTTAGGCTGTCACCTGCTGTCCGTGTGTGGACCCGCCAGATCTCCTGTTTCTCATTCCCTTTTGGACTTTGGAACCTGACCTCTAGAGCTATCTGTGGCTATCAAGAGGGATTGGCTTCGAGGTGGAGATATTTGGGATCCACAGTTCCTCAAGCCACCTTCAGCAATCTGTAGGAATATTTCAAGTAGGCTGTATAATTCATGCTCAAAGGTCATACAAAAGCAGATCTACATAGTGATGGCTAATTTTAGATTTAAATCTTTTAACAGGTTCTATTGCTTTAATATTTAAACTTAACATTCAGTTTTCATACATTAAATGTACAGAGCATTTTAATGATGGAAGTGCTACAGGATCTCCAAAAGCACCTGGTGATAAGGGAGAGAGTAAAGTTTGAAATTTGCTGTAATTTTAAAAATCCTTTAAAGGGATCAAAACTCCTTTTTATAATCAATATTGGGACTGGTAACCTACAAAAGCTTAAATTATAAAACTATTAGTGACTCTGCTTTTTCAAGTGTGTGTACTATAAAGCTGTACCTTTGTTACTTACAGATGTTACAAAATTTTCAAGGCAGAAAGGGAAGAAGGGCGAGGAAAAAGTAGTCCAAAAGTCTTACACATTTCATTTTCACTGACAAAAGTTATTTCCCCCAGAGCTATTTTTATGTCATAAAAATGTGATTAAATTTACTCTAATTGTTCCTTTTTTTTTTTCTTCCTGGGTGGATGACATAGTAGTGTTCAACCATGCTTTGGAAGACCATTTTCAATGGACAATTGTAATTCTCCAGATTAGCAAGTCACACCTGCTCTGATCTGAAACAAAAGCACCAGACTCTATAACTTTGCCCTAGCCCTGCAGAATAAAAGTTTGCAGCAAGATTTGGGCGCCCTGTCACGCGAGCTGAACTGGGCCTGAGGCAACAGCTCTGGCAGCCCTTGGCAGGGAGCACGCGCGGGGCTCCCGCTCCTCCTTGAGAAAAAGCTCGACAGGACAAAATTTAAGGAAACAGTAGAAATGACATTTGTTCTGTAAAAGAAAACCAGGGAAAATCTAAACAATCCACAGGTGTGCATTAACATTTAATAGCAAGCCTTTGCTTATGTGTATTAATTTAAAGATTACTCACAGGGATCTGTGATACAATTGCCCTGCCTTTTTACTATAATTAAATTTATTCAAATATTAATTTAAAATAGGAAAACAAAGAAGCTGCTCCTTGGGGAACATGTTTATTGTGTTTGAGATGATACACTGGGTGCTCTCTGAGCTACAAAGGGAAAAAGGAAATCCTTTCATTACAAACTGACAAAGGTAAAAGTTAAAACAGTTTTCACAACAGCATGTACCACATATTGGAAAGAGATCTGGGTTTAATACAAATGACATAATTCCTAGTAATCTACAGCTACCTTTAATAACTTCATACAGATAATGAATTAGGCTAAAATGCACTATAATATTTGGTTGACTTCAGGAACAGTATCCTTAGTACATCACAAAATACATTTTGATATCCCAAAGAAGCAAGACTTGCAAGTAGGCATTTTAAACATAACTAATCTACAGCTACAAATTTCTACTCTCGACAGCATTTACCTTTTTGGGGGGGCAGTATCCCAGTCTTCAAAAGGATAAAAGCAGAGTAGAATCAGTATAACATATACACAGAAGTCCGTATTGTAAAGGCTATAAAGATCTGTTGCACACTGTAAAGTTGCCTTCTGCACCTTCACACTGCACAAGTAGTTTGTCATTTATGTTGCATATCTCTTGGTCCACTGTCTGGCTATCCTGTCATGTTCTGCTCTGTTGGTCAGATACTGAGTGGCTATGCTTCCGACCAGAGGATCAGCTGCAAAAGACGTGAGAGGGAATGTCAGGAACCATCCCACAATAAAAAGCCACGGTTTAAAACCCACTACTCCAAAATACAGTCTTCATCGGGGCAGCAAATACTGAGATACATAACGAGGGTCTTATCATACAAGACATTTCCAAGAGAAAACTCACAAGGCACATTGAATAGGAAGATGTTTTAATCTGGTTTGGTAGTCTGAGTTTTAGTAGGTTAAAGGACAGGCAGACAGCTATGTTCAAATGTTGCAGCTGCTCTTTTCAGCCAAAACTTGACAAAAAGCAGGGGAGGTAGTTTCGTAAGACCACCAGCAATCCAGGTACCATTCTGTCAGGCACAGTTTGCTTCTACTTTCAACAACAGATGTCATCAAACTACAAACCTTCCCCCAAAGCCTTTCATTTTCTAAAGACCTAATCTGCTCAGAGAGGGCAAACATCACCTGTACAGACAGACATGCTGCCAGCTCATGGTGACGAAACTACAGACAGCTACAACAGTTCCCTTGCAAGCTGCAGAAACTAAGAACTTGCTAAGGTCAAAGCAGGCAGGCAGAGCCTTCTCTCTGGGCCGGGAAGCTCCATTCACCTCCATTCACGTCCCCCAGACCAGAGCACACTGGGGAGGGACACATGGTGAGGGCAGTGCAGTGCTCCCACACCAGGAGTCCCCAACATTTTGTATCTAACACGGTGATTTGTTTTTCCCCGCTCCTTATTGGTCTTTTTCAAAGGAATCTCAGCTTCGGCGCTCAGTTCCTGTGGAGCAGAGTGCCATTAGGATCCACTGCACGATGACACTGCTCATACAGGCGCTGCTGTGAGACCCTACTGCTTCCAGGGAAGTTCCCCAAACCTCAGCTGGAATAAGGGGCTTTCTCGGAAAATGGCATACACTGTGCCCATCACAGCTGCAATCTTATACATTTCAGTCGCTGTCTGCTGAGAAGGGACTTCCTGCGGTCACTTCCAGTGTGAATGATTTATGACTCAGTGAATTCAGAGAATTCCTGTTGCCTTCCGGAATTTTTGAATCACTTGCTGCAGCGGCTGGGATACAGGCCTGCAGTGGGTTTTTTTCTCTACCACATCTATGAAAGAATGGGCTTATCACTATTGGCTTTCTGTTGTGTCATAGGAGTGAAAAGAGCCTTTAAGTGTGAAACTGTATGCCAAAATACGAGCATTTCATCCCTAAAGTTAAAAAAAGTATTAACTTTGATTTAATCTAAATACAATCAGACATACAAATTATATATGATATGTATCCTGTGAAATAATGCAAACGAGTAAAGGGTAATGCTCAGTAAGTTCCTTACCAGGGTTGCAGTCTGTCAAAAGAGAACAAATAGACAGCAGAACCTTTGAAATAGTCAGAGCAGGGCTCCAGTTGTCTTTCAGAATATCCAGACAGATGACTCCCTGACTGTTGATGTTGCAGTGATAAATTCTGGTACGGAAAGTAACCTGGAATTACCATGTAAGAGACAAAAAAACAGAGACATTAACCACTGCCTTGGTGTGCTGTTCCGACCCTCTGGGGAGCACAAGTGTCTGGGGCACTCAATTCTGCAGAACTTCTGTGGAGGCAACTCCTCTCTGTTCGTTTTCTAAAATAACTTCACTTAAGAGAAAAGGGCTTATTCTTTGTTAGTCATGGTTACTTTTTCGGAGACCTGCCACGGAAGTCTGTGGTGCATAAATTACCTTCACAGAAGCACTCCGTCTGGTAACACTTTGTCATTCTGTACACTCTTTAATGAAGATATTGAACTGCATGTCAAGAACTACCTGCCACAAAGTTTTATTGCACTTATCAAATACAAAGAAGTAGACAGAATTTCTCCTGCTTATTCAGATTGAATATTGATTGATCATTTCCTTACTTCTGAAAAGTAATACTTAAAACTACAATATACCATTATTTTTCTTCAAATTAGCATGTAACAATCTTGTAATATCTTTTATTAGGCAGGACGTAAAATACAATCTATATAGTACCTTAAACAACAGTATCATACAGACATCATACTCATTTTAAAATTATTTCAGACTAGTATTGGTAAACAGAGAAGTATCATTCTGCATAAGGGAGAAGTTAGAAATATTTGAAGTGCCATAAACACATAAAGCAGAGAAAGATGAACTATTTTTTTTGTACCAATCCATTAAATGTTTTCTGAAACCACTGAAACTACCCAAATGACCTGTCTCTGAACAAAACTCCACATGGTTTTCATGGAGAATTTTATCTAAAATCTCTTTTAGGAGAATTTTATCTAAAATTCTCCATCACTTCATTATACAATCCTAACTCAGAGAACATCAAATGTTGTGAGTTTTGGAGAAGTACATATAATTCTTTATATATTCTTTATAATTCTTATATGTACACATATACATATGTGTACATATAAAGTGTGTATATATATATGTGTGTATATATATATGTGTGTATATATACATATATACACACATGCTTTATACTTATTCTTTATGTTATAGTGGTTTGGGGAATGAAGAAACAAAATATTGGATTTATAATAACAACGCTATTGCCACAGCTGCCACAAGTAGTAGGAAATATTGTGTGGTTGAACGTATTTATTCTTTGTAAATGTCAGCAGTGTCCTTCTGGTGTCATGGACAAGATTTGTAACACGGCATGGCGAGGAGCGAGGGGGGCTGATGAGGGAACAACCAGTAGCTTCCCTGGCATTGGTTAGGAAATTATGATTTCATAAATGTCCTCACTAATTCTGAGACAGGAAATAAAATTTAAGCTAAGATTGGTTCCATTTTATAGAAAGAGCTTTTGCTGCAAGAATATCAAACAAGGCGGCTGACCTAACCAGTTGCACGTACCCTGGCATTTTATAATAGGGAATGTTGTCACTGTTTTAGCCAACTTGAAGACACGCTTAACACTGTCTATCAAAATGAATCTACTTTTAGCCTTCTTTCATTTTGGTAACAATTACCTAGAAAATAAATAATTCAGCTCTGACTTAGAAGGGAGAGATTATTGCACATATATTCAATTAGGTAGACTGAGAAGCAGCAGGCTAAGAAGGTTTCTGCACTTTTCTATTTAAATTTGTTTTTTGAATCTTACTCATGATCAGAACCATCACCTCATTCATCACTTGGCAAAGCTCAGGAACCAGCAGTGTGTGTGGTAATCATCCAATAAATCAGGCACACATTCTTTTTTGAAATTGCAAGATTTCAGGCCCTTTAGCTTTCAGAAGACCATAAACAAACTTGACTTTCAGAAAGTACCCTTAATAAGTAACATTCAACTACATGGAAAAAAATTAAAAACACTATAACACCTTGCCCTTACCTTTGGTGGTTTGAATGGATAGTCAGATGAAAATGTGATATCCAGGAAAAAAACACCTCCTTCATATACAGAACCTGGAGGTCCGAGTATAGTAGATCTCCATTCATAAATGTTATCTCCTTTAGGACCAGCACTGTGGAAAGGCGGAGAGACAGAGCGAGAGAGTCAGGTGCACCTCTGAGACAGGTATTTTATGGATTTCCTTTTATATCTATTTGCTTTGTTTAATACTAACCACTTGCATATCTGTAACGTTTGCCTCATTTCTGACCAATTTCAGTGGGTTCAGTGTTTCAAATAGGTACAACCGCTGGGCACTTTGCTGTCCCTGGGCTTTCATGCTTTGAACGTAAAGGATTGCCAAGGAGTGACTACTGCTGTGTCACGGCTGAAGCTTAACCCAGCTGCGGTTTCTGGCAGACCCAGTTGCTCCGGAGCTCTGCGCTCCTTCCCGTGACAGTTTGGAAGCACAGAAGAAGCTGCATGGTGCAACCACACTCCCCTTCTCCGTGCACTGAGCCCATCACACCTTCGTAAAACTGTGACCTATGGGCACACCGATACACACTCACTGCTGCCTTTTTACTGGCTGTATGTTACCCATCCACTGTGTGAATTCACATTTCCCACTCACACAAACAGGAAAATAGGGTGGGAGAAACTGGAAGAAGTAAGCTGGAATTTTCTTGACTTCTGAGGCACCCTGATTACTGCTATTAAACACAGCAACCATCCAACCTCACACACACACACACAAAATCAAATCAGAACTTTATTTCCAAAAACAAGTCTCAGTGTAAAAATTGAACTACCTTTCCATGGAAAAAAAGGTGCAGAACCTCAGCTGCCCCGTTCCAAAGCGAGCGCAACCGGACGAGCGTGCCGGCGTTCCCGCCAGCGCGTCCTGGTGTCGAA